CCCCACCCGTCCCGAGTGGGCACTGGGGGTCTCCGAGGTGGACAGGAGGGAAGTGCCAGCGGTGTCGCCGTCACGCAGGGCTGGGGGATCCCCAAAATCCCGAGCTGTGACCACCCCAGGATCCCCCCCACGGCCTGGAAAGGAGGGTAATTCCCAAAGTAAATATTGGGAAAGGCCCTTCCCGCCCCCCCCCTCCCCTCCCACCCCCCCGCGGGATCCCCGGGCGCGCGCGGAAACACAATTAGCGCGTATTAACGGGGGGCTCGTTTTCATCGCGGCAGCTGCGCCCGCGCCGCCTCATTTGCATAACACTGGGGAATGCAATTAGGGAGAAATGAGGGGGCTGGGGGGGGACCCCCGTGGGGAGAAACCCGGGGGGGCTGCGCTCGCTGACCCGTGTTTGTCACTTTGAGCGATGGTGGCACCGGGGGACAAAGGGACGCTGTCCCGCTGTCCCTGGGGGTGTGTCCCCCCCCTCCTGGCTCAGTTTTGGGGTCTCCAAACCCCCCTCCGGGGAGAAGGAGGGGGGGGGAAATTCCATCCTGCGTGGGGACCACCCGTGTCCCCGAAGCTCGCTGGGAGCCCCCCAGGGCGGGGGGAGGGGGGGGGGGAGGACAGAACAGTTTTCCCACCTCAACTTTCCTGCCTCAGTTTCCCCACTATTTCCCCTTTCCCACATTCCCCTTCCTTGGATTCCCGCCCCAAATTCCTGCCTCGGTTTCCCCTTCCTCACATTCCCACCTCCCATTCCCAACCGGGCGTGGGACCCTGAAGGGGAGCAGGGAAAGCACCTCCTGGAGGGAATGGGGGCTTTTCCTGCTGGGAATGAGGCTTTTCCTGCTGGGAATGAGGCTTTTCCTGCTGGGAATGGGGCTTTTCCTGCTGGGAATGGGGCTTTTCCTGCTCCTGAGGGTGTCCCGGGGGGGGGGGGAGGTTGAGGTCCCCCTGTAGCCCCCCCAAGGAGTCCTGGAATCACCCGTGGAATCAGCCATGGAATCCCACGGAGCTGCACATGAGGTCACACGTGGAAAGACAAGTAGAAAAACACACGTGGGATCGCAGGGAGCCGCCCATGGAAGGGCACATGGAATAGCACAGGGAATCACATGGAATCACACATGGAATAGCACAGGGAATCACATGGAATCACACATGGAATAGCACAGGGAATCCCATGGAATCGCGCGTGGAATGGCTCAGGGAAGCGCTACCATCCCCGGCCCGGAGCTGACACCTGCTGGCAGGAACCCTCAGCGCCCCGGGGTGGGGGTGGGGGGACCCCGCGACCACCCGCGTGCCCCTCAGGACCCCCCTCCCCCCTTTCCCCCAGGTTTGGGGGAAAAGCAGCCGGAGCGTGTCCAGGCGGGAATTCCCGAGCAGGAACCAAACTCTGCCCTGAACGGCAAAGATTTGGGGGGATTTGGGGGGATTTGGGGTGCTTTGGGGGGATTTGGGGTGCCAGGACAGGGGGTCCGGCACAACCCCGAGCTCCAGCGCTCCGGGACAGCCACCCCCACCCCTGGGTGCCACCCTCGGGGCACCCCAAGTGCCCCCCCCGAGA